AAAAAAAAAAAGTTAATTAATTAATTTAGAAAAACCCTGGTATCATAAAAACCAACTTCTGGTTGTGTTTTGGTACAGTTTATGGTAATTAGATCCATCAGTGAAAAAATAGGTCTCACTTTCTGTTAATTTTAACAAATAAATTTAAATCTATTCATACACACATGAATAGATACAATGATATGTATCACTGTTGGGGCTCAGAGAACAATACCTGATAGTGGAGACCTCATAAATAGCCTCAGAAGCAAAGTTTCTGATCTATCCTTTTGTCTCTTGCCCCTTGTTCTCCTCTAAAGTGAATCATAGAAAGCAGATTCTCTTTCCCCCAAACCAGCCATAAAAACTAGAATTATTCCTCTTTCTGTTTAGGAGCTGGCTATAATGAAATTCTCTGACCTATCTTTTTGATACCAGGTCATAAGACTCCCATTCCAGGAGGAGTCCTACCTTGCTGGAACCAACGGGCCAAAAAAATTCTTGATGGGCCTTATTGTGTTTTCCTACTGTCTTTTCCTATTAGCTCATACTGTTTTTGTCGTCACATTTCTAACATGATCATTCATCCCTATTTCATCAGAAAAAGCATAAAATCTGGAGATATTGTGTCACATACAACTATGATAAAAAAAAATTTTGTTATGGCTTTTCTCCTGTGAATCTATTGCCAGTTTATTTCATAAGACTCAAATATCAAACCTTCAGAGGGAGAATCTGATCTTCCCCAAAATACATACACAAATATGACTGGATGTTTATATAGCAAAATATCAACATTTGGTGATTATCTCTAAGAGATTTTTGTTTTCTTTACCTGATTTATCTAAGTTTTTAAAAAATTTCAAACGAATATCCGTCACTCCTACGAGGAAAAACAACAGTAAACATTTTATATGGATACATGATTTTTAAAAAATATTGTTGGGAAATAAACACATGGAGCTCAATTTTAGAATCTAGAAGCCATATGAGACAAAAGAATACATAAGTTCAAAGAATGAAATAAATGTATGGTTAATGACTCCCTGAAAAGTAAGAAATGTTTGCAGAATATCTCAAATGTGTTTGAAGTTGCTATCATAGATGTAGCAATCTACTTGAAGAAAACTCCATAAACAGTGCAAAGGGGAAGAATGGGGACTATAAGTGCTCTCACTGTCAAAAACTGAAAAACAGAACAAAAATTTTCTTTTTTGATACTGGGGGTTGAACCCAGGGGCACTTAACCACTAAGCCAGACCCTCAGCCCTTTGCGCTTTTTATTTTGAGACAGGGTTTCACCAAGTTGATTAGGGCCTAAGTTGCCGAGGCTGGGCAATCCTCCTATCTTAGTCTCTGCAACCACTGAGATTGCAGGCATGGGCCACAGCACCTGGCTTGTCCTCATGCTTTCAGTCACTCCACTAACTTACTTATCTGCTATTTATTATGCACAAGGCTATGAAATAGTTAAGCAACAGGAACAGTGTGCCATATTTTGAGTCACTGCATTTTTGTGCTTATTTGTACCTCAAAACTCTAGAGATGGGCAGGCCACCCTGGTGTTTTTAGCGTACATCTAAAAATTTCTTGTGTTTGTCCTTATTATTTTACTCAAGATAATTCTGGTTACCAGTGACCTTTCCTTGAATAAATATTAGTGGCTTAAAAATTTTTTTTTCTAATTATCTAGACCTCCCTATGAACACAGAAATAATCACTAGGATGTGATTGTTCCAGCTTCCCTTTCTAAAAATTTTCTCTTTCTTTTGGTTAGGTAGTTGAGGGGTCTAGTCTTGTCTCTGCCACCAAAATCTGTATGATCTTGGGAAATTCAGCTTGCTTTGGAAGGGCACAGATGGCATGTGTGAAAACACTCTATAAATTGCATTTGAAATGTAATGATTACTGAACTAGATGATCTCTAAATTTCCCTCAAGGCCAAAAATTTTCATTCAATACCTTTATTTTTAGTGAATTCACCTGATTTAGAAGCTAGCAATTGCATTTTGTTACATTTAAAAGAGTACTTCCATTGTGGCAAAGCTGCTCCTGATTCAAGAAATATGGAATGATTTGTGACTTTACATCAGCAGGACTAACAACAGATAATTCTTCAATTATTTAGGATGAAACTTACTGCAAATGACACATGATTTTAAGGTTGAGTCATAGCCAGCACATAAAAACATCATCTTCAGGCTGGGGCTGGGCTCAGTGGCAGAGTGCTCAACTGGCATGTGTGAGGCACTGGGGTTGAGCCTCAGCACCACATAAAAATAAATAAAGTAAATGTACTGTGTCCATCTACAACTAAAGAAAAATAAATTTTTAAAAAGCATCATTTTCTACATAAAAGCACACAGTTTGTCATCCTTGATTTAATAAACTTAAATTTAAATTTTAAGATGTATCCAACTGCAATCACATTTGAACAGACTGTAGACATTCATACAACATTTTAGAACATTTAGTACATTACCAGTGCTGGAATAGTGACTGTCACAGGCAGGAAATAAATGAAGATACACACCAAATGCATATAAAAAAATTATAGAATCTCAGAATTAGAAGCCTAAGTTATTTATACTAGTGGGTCCCAGAAGTGAGATTTCATGGACTAACAATAGTTCCCCCCCCCCAAAAAAAATGAGGTCATATATATATAGTGTCAACTTTTTATTTTCAAATAAAGGTATTTTTAAAACAATAAGACAACTATCTACCATCAGTATCATTTTATAAAAAGGGATTTTTATGACATGTAGGAAGACAAAATCTAGACTAAATTACAATGTAAAACTAGATAAATGAAAAATTCATTCTACTGCTCTTATTTCTCCAATATCTTTATGGAAAACGTTGTTAGACGTATACCTGTCCATACTCAGACCTTTGGGGACCACTTAATCCATTCTATGCCCCCCCCATTCTACCATAACACCTGAACATACATAAATATGTCACAGTAAAACAGGGAGCTGAAACTCCAAACCTCCGTTCTTGTGAAGTCAAGACACCAAAAGTCACACAAAAGAACTGTATTATAGGTGAAAGTAAAAGCAAAGTGCTGCTTAAGCAGAGAGCACTCTCAAGAGAGAGACAGGGCCATCTCCAAGTAAAGAAGGACAAAGCTGACTCCAATTTTATTACTGTTTGATGTTTACCAGGAAGGCAGGGGACCACCTTCTGTACTGTTTGCCAAACAGGTGTTCAACTCCTCCTTCACATGGGGCCATGGAGTTTTTGACTTAGTTGGTCCTCTCTGGATCTGTCATGGTGGCCGTCCTATTTATGGGGTGGTCATCTACAAGTCAATCCCATGTTAATGTGGGCACTGGTGTCCATTGCTGGTCAGAAGTTACTTTAGTGCAGCTGCACTACTAAAGGAATCTTCCTTCCCAGACAAATGGAAACACTTCTAGCTATAATTTCTAGCTTTACAGCAACATCAATGGACCCTGTCATTGAGTTAGTCCCATTAACTCTTAACCCTGTCAAGAGTTAGTCCCATTAATCTTTTTCTCTTGCTGTGATTTCCAACTAGCTCCCTTGCTTCTGTCTATTTTCTACAAATCAACTACCACCTTTGCTTTCTCATTTTCTTTGGAAATTGTTTAAAGACCCGAAAGTAATTTAAAGAACACTTGTGACCTTGCCTGCATTTCTCTGTTCATTGCTAGCTACTACCTAACAATTACACCAAAAATCCTTTTGAATGTATATACTTTATCCCCTTATTCCTCAAAGTGAGCATTTTATTAAACATATTGTATAACTATGATAGAAAATCAGCAAAACAGTGGTTATCCCTGGAAACCTCAAACCTGGATTTTTTTGAAATTTAGTTATTTTAAAGGTACTGGAGAGTGAACTCAGGGGTGCTTTACCACTGAACTACACCCCCATCCCATTTTATTTTTTATTTCTTTTATCTATTTTTGCACTGGGGATTGAACTCAAGGGCGTTTATTCACCAAGTCACATTCCCCAACCCTTTTTTTAAAAAATTTGAGATAGAGTCTCGCTAAATTGCTGAGGCTGGCCTTGAGCCTGCAATCCTCCTGCCTTAGCCTCCCTAGTCTTGCTGGGATCACAGGCATGCGCCACCATGACCGGGTCTCTTTTTATTTTGGGATAAGGTCTCCTTATAGTGCCAAGATTGGCCTGAAACTTGTGATCCTCCTGCCTCAGCCTCCCGAGTGTCTCACAGCACCCGGCAATATTGTCGTTTTCAACACTACCAAGATATGACTCTTCTTTATTGGGGGGGGGCGGTAATAACAACCGTTCCTACGGATAATTTATGCACAGCCTACTTTCTCTGTTGATTCTGTCACTAATGTTCTTTATTAAGTAGCTACTAGGATTTTTCCTCGAAGATCAAATGTATCAGTGGGGCGACAATGCAAGGACACAGGGCGGCAGAGCAATTTCTGCTTCCCCTTTCTTTCCCCATCTGTTAAAAAAAAGGGGGGGGGGGGCTCTAATACTCCGTTGAGAGTAGAATTCTAATTACTAGTCGTCAGGTCTCTAGGTCTGCTTTTCTCTTCCTCTCCACCAGAGGCGACAACCTCTTTCCAAAAAGAAGATAAGCTGGAAAAGGCCGGCCCTGAGGAGTGGCCAAAGAAAGATCAAAGGCTAAAAACCGCCTAAAACAAAGAGCAAAGGTCGATATCCAGCTCCCAAGGAGGTCTGAGACTTCCTACCGCCACAAAAAAAAAAAAAAAAAATTGAAGGTGACCTCTCCCTCACTTGCTCACTAGGCCTAGGACCCGGCAGCCTAAGAGAGAGCGGGCGGGTCCGAAGTGACTAACAGGTACCAATAGAACTGTCGACGACAGGAAGTGGAAGAGAGCCCGGAGCGGGGGTGAGGACAAGCCACGCCACGCTTGCGCAGACAGCAGGCGTTGCAGTGCGCATGCGCAGCAGTGTGGTGACGCGATGACGCTTGGAGCGTGGGCCGCGACTCTCACGGATCCGGTTCCGCCCTCCTCTCACTGCCGACCCTTCGGGGCTAGAGCCCGAGATCCCTTTCCCAGAGTGCTCTGCGCCGTGAAGAAGCGGCTCCCGGGGACTGGGGGCATTTTGTGTTGGCTGGAGCTGGAGTAACAAGATGGCGGCGTCGGCGGAGTGACAGGGGTCCCCCCGGGCCGGAGCCGGCGGCAGTGGTGGCAACGGTATCACCGTCCTAACTCACCGCGCCCCATTTCCAGCCCGCGACGTCGCCGTGAAAACTCGGCAGCGGCGACCTCCCAGAAACAAGTGGCCTAGCCTAAGTAACCGCGAAAACCACTCAAAAATTGCGGCCTGGCTAAAAGAAACCTGACTGATTGGCGGTGATCGGGTTTCCCTTGGCCGATTCTGGGCCCTGTACGCCGGGAAAAACCTCCGATTTTCACTTCCTGCCGCCCTCCGCAGCCTTGCCCGGCGGACGAGCCCCCGAGGCCTCCGTCCTCCCCTCAGAGGTGTCGGGGCTTGGCCCCAGCCTCCATCTTCGTTTCTCAGGATGGCGAGCAGCAGCGGCTCCAAGGCCGAATTCATTGTCGGAGGGAAATATAAACTGGTACGGAAGATCGGGTCTGGCTCCTTCGGGGACATTTATCTGGCGATTAACATCACCAACGGCGAGGTAATCACCCAGAGTGGGGTTCATCCAACGCTGCGCGCCCCCCCCTCCCCGAACCCCAAAGTGCTCGGGCCTCTAGCTACCGCACGCACGCACCGGGGAATCCAGAGGGAAACCAGATTTCCTGGTTTAGGAGCCTCCCCCGCTTTCTTCCGTAAAAGGAAAAGAACCCGATAGAGAGGTTGGCTAGACTGGGAAGTTTCTTAGCTTGTTACAATTGTCCTTTGGTCAAACTTTTTTTTTTTTTTAAATCGTGCTTAAGGTGAGAAGGGCAGAAGTCTGAGGTCCCTGTTTCTCTTTTGTGTTTTCTATATGTAATTGTACTGGGGTTCATGTTCCAATGAGTGCAGTTTCCGATCGCCTGGTTCCATCAAAACCTCATTACGTTCAGAGGTTGCCTGTTTTCTGGATGAATAGTTTTCCTGCACTTTAGAGGACGTGCGGATTTCGTCACTACCCCCTGAAGAGGCCTTTGAGGCTGGCTGCCCCGTTTTATAATTACAAAGGGAGCTTTCCCCTCCCAACCTTTCGCTTCTTCCTAGTAATAGCGACTTGGAGCTTTGCTAATGTCTCTTCTCCTTTCCTAAGTGACACTGAATCCATAGGGATGTTGACACCATCATCCCTTTTTTCCCCTGCAGGAAGTGGCAGTGAAGCTAGAGTCTCAGAAGGCCAGGCATCCCCAGTTGCTGTACGAGAGCAAACTCTATAAGATTCTTCAAGGTGGGGTTGGCATCCCGCACATACGGTAAGAACCCGTCAGACAGGCGGTTCGCCCAGCGAGTACGGAAGGGGCCAGCCCAAGTCCCCTGTAGTCGGTGATTTCCTGACAGCCCTAGATCCCCGGTAATCACGAGTAAATTTCAGTTCGCCCACTGAGTTGAAAATATCAGTTGGTTTCACTCATGTCCATTCAGCTCCCGTCGTTTTTCCCTTCCCGAGGCTTTCATCTGCAGTTACGTGTGCAGGTCAGCTTTGATCCCTACAGGGGGAGGTTGACTGCTGCTTTCTTTCCTGCGGCACCTCTGATGTTCTTAGGTTTGTCCAGTGAAGGGATTTGAAGGTGCCCAAATGACCGGGCTTAGCCAGTTCGGGTTGATACTGGAGCTGGCTTGGGAAATGGCTGCTCTTTTGTTGTGTTTTTGTTCCAACATGTCTTCCTCCTCCGCTTAGAAAATGGCGGAACGACGTGACTCAACCCCATATTACTGCCCTTTTTTCACTTTGAGTTCAGAAGTTATGCTTCTTGAATCCCCCGTTAGCAGCCCTGAATGGATTAATCCATTGTAAAGCCAAGAATAAAGCTTCAGGAGGCGGTGGGGTACAAAGAACGAGATAACAGAATGACAGTATGTTTGTAATCTCTGCGCAGATGCGACATGACATTGTTAAGTTATACTGTGTAGAAATTCTCAGAGATGTTTATTACCCTTTCTTTTGTGAATGATAATGTTTGGCACATTTCAGTTTGTACTAAATTTTTTATGGGTAATGGCAATGGCAGTCTGAGCAGCACCAACCGTGTTGAAATAAATTGTCAGTTGTGTTAAAAGAAAGCTTCACTTAGCCACAGTTTGGTAAGTAATTTTAACCTGTTGAGTTATTTTGTCAATAAAACTTCAAGGACATTGTTGGCCTTTGGAGGATGGGATATTGGTGAAAGCAAATAGAAATAATAATCAAATAAAAGATGACTAGGTTTTTAAAATACATTGTGTTCTTTCAAATACTTAACCTCTAAGGGTTTTAGAGTAATTCTTTTTAGTTTGAGATTAAATAACCCTCTATAGAATAGTAACTAAAATGTGGTTTAAGATGAGCTGTATTCCACTAATGAAAAATAACATTTGCAAAAAGATGCTGAATAGTAGAGAATTAAATGGAAGATTTTCTGTATCCTTTTCCATTCTCGTTTCTATTTTTTAAGTCTTAATTTAAGTACTGGGTTACATACATTAATTCTGATTTGGGAACAACCAAACTAACATTATACTTTAAAAAAAATCCAGTGAAGATATGACATTTTTAATGGAAAATTGATGAAATGAATTCCTTGGAAGAAAATTCCAGGTTTATCTTATGTAGCAAAGGTTGATGTGAAATTTGAGATGATCTGGATTTGAGATTTTTCAATGTGTCTCATCACTTTAAAAACCTGTGTGGAAAAAAAATGGCCTCTAACCCCCATTGGTTTGCTTTCCACCACTTGTTTTTTCCTAGAATTTCTTAACAAATGGAATCGTACACTATGAGGTCATTTGTATCTGGCATCTTTCGCTTAGTATAACGCTTTTGAGATTTGTGGAGTGGGAGATTTTTAAATTTCACAAACCAAGTTAAATTTAATGTATTTGAAATGATTTTCAAAAATCATTAAGCATGTTGACTTTTCTTTCCTAAACCCAAGTTAAGAACATGCTATTTTATATGGTATCTTTTATTTAAGGATAAAGCAGGTACAAGCCAATAAGGGCAATGAGTAATACGTTGAATATGTACATTAATAAATGAAATTAACTTGTGAGCAAGCTAATAGGTGCCTGTTGTAAGATGGTGGGTACAGAGAGGGTTATGGTAGTTACAGGCTGCCTGTGGGTGGGGCCAAATAGATGAATCTGGCTTTCAAATTAAGGCTTTTTGGGAGGGGAGATGGGATTTCAGGGTCTGGCTCTAAGGAAAAAAGGTTGGTGAACTGGTTGGGGAAGACAACCAAGACTAATATATGGCTTCTGGGAGTAGTCTCTAAGGTAGAATGTATAATTGGATAGAGGCAGGGAAAGCATACATTTGTTTCAAGAATGCTAGGGATAGGTATATAAAAACAAAGTTGGTTCATTGAATTTGTTTTGTTTATTTATTTATAATCTGTCTATGTGGTATTAAGGAACAAAACCAGGAGCATTCTACCTCTGAGCTATATCTTCAGCCTTTTTTTTTTTTTTTTTTTTTTTTAACTTTAATACATGGTCTTGCTAAGTGACTGAGGCTGGCCTCAAACTTGGGAACCTCTTGCATCAGCCTCCCATGTCACTGGTATTCCATATGTGTGCCAGAATACTCAGTTCTGGTTCATTGGTGTTAAAGTCTGAAAGAACATCAGTTTTCACTGATGCATAAAAAATATTTATATTAATTTTCTTTGTTTAGATAGCAGCATCTTCCCATCCTCCTAGTTTAGCTTGTTCCCCACAATTTCTGTGTCTGTATATACTTAATAAATATTTACTTGATAAATATTGAATTAAGTTGGGTTTTAGTTTTATCTAGATTAAATAAGATAATCCGTTATCCATTGTTTTAGACTGGTAAACACTAATTGTAAAAATTTAAATTTACCCTTTATTTGCACACATCTCTCATACCCATTTAGTCTTGCAGTCTCTCATACACAAACTCTCTCACACTCATACACAGTACACGTTATTGGTCTATGGATTTGCTTTAAGATACTTAGGGATGTCTTAAAACAAATCCTCAAAATTACTTGGTCTACCTAGCAGGTCTGCCTAATCAGAATCTTGCTATGTAATTTGAGGAACCTATGGTTAAGTTGAAGCCTGGCAATCCAGTCTCTTAGTTTTTAAACTAAATCCTTGGCACCTTGTGAATTGACATCAGGAAATGACTTAAATTACTGAGTTTCTGTTACAGTCCTCCTTTTTGCCACACAGAAATGAATTAACATGTTCTTTAAAGAAACAAGATAAGCAGAAAAGAGTGCTTATTTAGGCAATTGGTTTTCAGTGGTATTGACTGGTGATCTAGGATCATTCAGTCCTTTAACCTGTATGAACCTCTCAGTTTCCTCATCTTTATAAAATAAATAATTTTACTAATTTAGTAATTTTCTATTTTTGTTGGGGTGAGAAAGCAAAGTGCTGAATAGAAAGGATTTTTGTTCTTTGTAACTTTCTCCTAACACCTATGATCCCCAGGTTGGGGGCTTCTACCCTCCCACTGTGGGGTGGGGGGGGGGTGGGGAAGATTTCTACTGGCTTTTGCATGCTGAGATTTTGGTTTTGTTTTACTGATGTATCCCTACCTAAGTAAATGTTTCCTGCTTAGTTTCTCTTAAACCTTTTAATTCTGGAATTTCTTTTAGACTTGTTTTTAGAAGATAGTAGCTAGAAAGCATTTCTTCAGTTTGATGTTTTATATAGATATCCTAACTGCCTTGCCCTTGGTACTGGGGATTGAACCTGGGAGTGCTCTCCATTCCCAGCCATTTTATTTGGTTCATGGGGATTGAATCCAGAGGTGCTTAACCACCAGCTACATCTTTTACCACTTTTATACATGTTATTTTGAGACAGGGTCTTGCTGCGGCTAGCTTTTGAATTTAGGATACTCCTGCCTCAGCCTCCTGAGCTGGTGAGTTGTGCCTTACCACACCCGGCTCATTTCATTTTCTGTTGACACAGGGTTTCACCAAGTTGCCCAGGTTGGCTTCTAACTTTCAATCCTCTTGCCTCAGCCTTCTGAGTCTCTGGGATTATAGGTTTGTGCCACTACACCTAACTTTAAATTTTAGGAATAAGTACCACAGAAGACTTGAAGATATCATCAGCTTCAAGTAAACCATAGACTAAAAATGAAGTGAAATATACTTTTATAGGGAAATCATATAAAGAAGATGGGTGGGACATAGGAGACTTGCTCTTGCCTTGTATTTTTCGTTTTGTTTTTAGTACTGGGGATTGAACCCGAGGGTGCTCTATCATTTAGCAACATCCCTAGTCCTTTTTATTTTTTCTTTCGAACTGGGGATCTCACTAAGTTACTGAGGCTGGCCTCATACTTGGGATCCTGCTTCAACCTCCCAAGTAGATGAAATTACAGGTGTGTACTGCCACATTTGAACATTATACTTTAAAAAAAGTGTGTGTGTGTGTGTGTGTGTGTGTGTGTGTGGTTGTATATGATATCTTTATTTATTTATGTGTTGCTGAGGATCGAACCCAGGGCCTCCAAGTGCTAGGCAAGCGCTCTGCCGCTGAGCCACAACCCCAGCCCTGACCATTATGCTTTTTATGCACATTTTTTTGCTCTCTCTGTCCAAATGTCTGATATTCTGGAGGATAATTATGAACTAATGATTAATTCTTTCTTTAGTGTTAAAAATCAGCTTAAATTGTAGCCACACGAGGTGTCACACACCTATAAACCTAGTGCTGCGAAGGCTGAGGCAGGAGGATCACGTGTTTGATTCAAAGTCAACCTTAGCAACTGAGCAAGGCCCTAAGCAACTTAGTAAGACCCCATCTCAAAATTTAAAAAAAAGAACTGGGAGAATGGCCCAGTGGTTAAGCACCCATAGGTTCAATCTCTATTATCAAAAATAAAACAATATCAGCTTAAATTTTAATCTTATCTTTTCGGCATTGAATATATATCCCATGAATAAGATTGCAATGCCGTTAGAGAACAAAAAATGACAACTGCATTGGGTATGTCTTTACTGATATTTGTGAAAGATCATTAGATGAATGAAAGATGTAATTATTAGCGTAACTGAAATCGTGGAATACTAGAAACGTGTTCTATTGATATTATTAGTCTACGAAATCATGTTATAATGCTAGGTAGTAGCATTTTTGAGTTGAATGAAACCTGAGAGGTGTATGTAGCCCAATTCCTGATCATACAAATTAGACTGTTGAGTCTCAGAGGAGTACTAGAATCTGCTAACTTCTAGTTCTTCTGAAAGCCATTACCACCTTTGTCAAGGTAGTACGTATACCTTTTCAT